ATTTTCTAGAACAGATGTTGGAAATAATTCTGGGAAAGGGCACAACCAGACATGAATATTTGTATTGCTAGTTGTCATGCCAGTTTGCTGTACCATCCATCTCCTAGGCCACTTGCCCAGAGGTGGGAATAGCACATTAAAGTAAGTCCTTTGGCCTTCACTGGCTATTTAGGGAGGGTCATTGAGGTGCCGGGAATGAGCCTAGTTGCATGGAGACTGTCTTTCTTTGGCAGACTTAGGGAATCAGCAGTCCATTCAGGCTTTCAGGCCCACGCTCAACTGCTTGACCAGGGCCATGGCTGTGGGGGGCTTGAAACAAACCCTTCTATAAATGTTGAGATGATACCTCAAGATGGAGACATCTCTCTCCCTTACCTGAAATGGCAGTGTGCAACTCCTGATATGCTGGAGGACCTCTTAGTTCTCCAGCATCATGACCTTAATTAGACGGTGAGGGCACTTTTAGCTATTAATTGCCCATTTCAGAGAAAATCACTACAAGGCTTCTGTTACCCTCACAATTCAGGGTCAGAATTCCGATTTGGCTGAAGAGTTGGAGTCTGGACCCAAAATGCAAAAGTCTGGTCAGAATGACAATATTTAAGTTGGTGGCTGCATGTACATTGAGTGGAGTGCTGTGTTTACATTATCACTCTCTTCTCAGTATTCCTCCAGGACCTAATCAGAATGAACCTTTTTAGAATCTCGAAGGAAAAGGTGTAAGAATTAGGTTACGAGGAAGGGAGTGGGCTAAAGCAAGAGATTTCAGCATATATAATCTGGAATTTGAAAATCAGAATAGACCATGGGATTACAGAGAAGTCAGATGTGAGAAAAATTATGTGTCAGTATTCTGTCAATTTTGATGGTTTCAGCCAGGTTGGCCTCACTGTGAGTATTGAGCAACCATTGAAGGTAAAAGAAACTGAGATGTTACAGCTGGAACATATTGGGGTGTTAGACTGTAATGTGACTAGACCTAAAGTTCACAGACTTATACAGGAAGAAGCAGAATTTATTAAAAAGGAAGGTGGTGTGGAAATTCAGTTATCTGACATTATCTTTAAAATGTAAGTTGGAAGGAGAAGGCAAACAGAATGAGGCAGATATGCTTAGGTCACCATTTTTGAAATGCAATAGTTTGATCTTTAATTGAGAGAGAGCTGTATAGAATAGCCTACTTAGAAATTAAATCTGAAACAATACTTATATAACTTAAAAAGACAACATGTTAATGAGGAACTGGAGATTACCTTAAATACCAGCTGATGAGGAATGGGCAATGGCCCATCAGGTGATAGTTCCATCTCAGTCTGATAATGAAATTTTACAAGTGGCTCAAAAAGATATAATAGCAAGTCACTCAGGTGTTAAGAAAACATAAGCTAGAATACAGAAACCTTTTTATTGGCCAGAATTACATAAAATGTGGAAAAATTCTGCCAGACAAGCCATACATGTCAGGTAGTGTGGAATCCCTGAATATCAATTATACCCGCACTTTTAATTATGAAACCACCTTTTATAAAACAATTAAGCAGGACTTAATAGATCAAGCAAAAGAAAATAAAGAACTGACAAATCTGGAATTATCAGCAACAAAACTGGATTCTAGCAGTTCTGAAGAAGAGTCACTGGACCCGAAATGTTAACTCTGCTTCCTATCCACAGGTGCTGCCAGACCTGCTGAGTTCTTCCAGCAATTTCTTTTTTTTGTTTCAGGATTTAATAGATTATTAACTATGAGTTGGAATCATATGGCTCAATTGTGTTTTGTTTTATAACTCAGTCTGAGTGGTGTGGGTTTTATGAAGGAATTTCTGGCCAAGTCCTAGCAAGTTTTCTTGCAATGTCTTATCAACGTCATCACATAAACTACTAACGCCGTCCTTATGGCACCCTCATGTCTGATTCCAGCACCATCCTACCATGTGTGTGCCCAGAACAACTTGCCATTCAGCCAACATCTGCTGAAGCTCCTGTGTAACCGGACAAGCATTGGTATTCTGAAGCTACCCAGCTTGGTAATGGACAGAATCTAAAGATGTCAGAGAGTGGGAAGCTGGCACTGTGATTCACTGACAGGGAACTAGAGATTCTGCTGGTCAGGCTGATGTATAGGAGAGCAGATCTCTTCCTTGAGGACCATCAGAGGAGACCATGACACCAGAACCTGGCAGCCTGGCCTAAGGTCATCCTTGAAACCAACCAGGTCAGTCCCATCTCCGTGCTCTGGAGGAATGGCTAGAACTGCTTTAAGAAAGTCAAAGACCTTTTCCACTCCTTAAGAGTAAGTGATACAGTATTCTCTTTGCTTCCTCACACATACTCAATCTCTGCTAAGGTACACAACTCCCACCAAGGCTCATAGGCTGTCACTCTCACACCTGCAACATCATCCCTCACTTGTTCCCTCCAATGCCCCCCAAACACCACTAACCCTGCACTGCCTCCTCACTAACTCAAAAAACCTCACTGTCTTTCCAGTACCTGTAACAGGACTAACAGCTGTGCCACCCACTTTCAGCTCACTTAATCCCTTTCTCTCTCTCATTGCAGGAGAAGGCATAAGGGAGCAGAGACAGTACATTGGGGTGGAGAGGTGCAAGACATTAGGCTCCTCACCAGGCTATTATACAGGAAGACCATGACTGCTTCTGTAGGGAAGCAAAGAGCTACATGTCCCACCAAATATGTAAATACCATTCTTCATTTCACTATAACTCATCACATGCTGTCAGTGTCATTCATTGCACATCACCTCCAATCACTGAACGCAGTGCCTTTTCTGTCTCTTGTGCCTTGCAGATACTAGTGGGATGTCTACCATCGGGTAGCTGCCTCCTGGAGCTCTGAGAACGAGAGTAGTGCTACGTCAGAGGAAGCATCAGTAGGGCTGACTCCTGCACTCCCTGCTAGCTCAAATCTTTACATCTCATTGGGAATGTCAGGCTTAGAAATATTGGGAGCATTAGCTGGTGAGCACCTCTGTACAACAGCTGCACAGCTGTCTGAGGAAGAAATGTCCCAGGCTACTGATTACTCAGAGGACTGCTGGAGACTGGTTCAGCCTTAGGCAGCAGAGGGCTCTATGGCGTTAATAATCAGAGACTTCATCCCCAGACACAGGGAGGAGCAACAGAAGCAGACAGGGATGTGGGACACAATGGCCCTCAGTGCCCAGAAGCTACAGCAGTGCAGGGAATCATGCAACCATCTGGCTGTCTTCACGGACAGATTGGTATCTGCCATGGAGGGCCAGGCCCAGCTCCCTGAGGGGCTGCTGGAGAAGTGCAAACACCAGCACTCCATTGGTCCACAGGAGAAAAGGAAAGCCACTTCCTCACAAGGAGTCAGAGGGTATCCAGCTAGAAAAGGAACCACATATAATCCGCTTACATATCACCATTCAGGACACTCCTGGGGAGGCCATCCCTTCACCTCCACCCTGCCTGCCTGGTATTCATCCTTGAGCTGAGAAGGTGGTAAACAAGCCAATCATCATCAACCCAGACAGTTTTCCAGTGACTGATGTTGGAACAGAATTTTTTTTTAATATATTGACCCTTCTTATTAAATATTTCATAGTCAAAGAGAGAGTGTTGTGAATTAAATCCAAATTCAGTGCAGCTGTGATACTCCCTCATTCACATATGGATGACAGAAAACAACTCTAGACTTAAATAAGGGGAAATTGTTGATACCCATTTAAGAATGGAACTACCATTTCAGAAAAAAAAAGGAATTTGATTTATACATTAAAAAGAAAATTAAAAACCCTGGTTGTGAAACTTGTTAAATAGCTCTTTTAAAGAACCAGAACCAAAGCAAAGGGCTGGAATGTCTCTTCTGTGCTGGCTGATTCAATGAAAAATAAACTAGAGAAATCGGATGAAAATTGCAGCACACATTCAGAGAGAGAAACTTTCATCATTAATAAACTTAAGATTTAGGATACTAGGGCACAAGAATGGAAAACTTTGAAATCGATTATTTCCCAGGTTTCTTTAGGATTCCAAACAAGTACTGGATTAAAACCACACACTAACTCCCTAACGAACGGAGGTTCAAGTCTCAAAGTCCCGCCTTTGCGTTGAAATGGTTTGGTGCCGACACTTCACGCCGAGAAATGATTCGTTCCACTTAATGTCAATCTGAGAGGGGCGGAGGGGGGCTTTTTGGGGGAAGCTGTGTGTCAATGTCATTTCCGTAATGGATGGACTGTAGTAGTTAGTGGGAGAAGAGAAAAAAAATCAATGGGAATGTGATGGAACTCCGAGTAATCGAAGATTATGGAGCGCAGCAGAGAGACAGCCAGCATCTACCAACATATTCATGTGCAGTTACAAGGAGGAGCTCCATGGGGCTTCACTCTTAAAGGGGGGCTAGAACATGGAGAGTCTCTCACCATCTCAAAGGTAAAAAACTTTAAGGAACTCGTGTCTCCCGCCCCCCAACAACTGCAAACAGAAAAAAAAAAGTCCATTACAGCTGCAAAAAATAAGTGGCAAAGAAGTAGGCTTCTACACTGTTCATGTTTTGGCCAACGTTATCCATTTCACAGCAGTGAGACAAAGAAGTCCAAAAGTTAAAGTCGAAATTTTAGATGTACATTTGAATATAAAATACCCATAAATAATTGTGGTCTTAAATGATCAGCGTGCATAGAAATTCGGTTCTCCCCAGCACTAGCTTGCTGCTGAATGAGAATATGTAGAATGGAATGCAGATTAAATCACATGTGGGTCGAAATACTTTCTGCCAAAATTAATTTTTTTTGAATGATACAGTGGGAACGATTTATTTTATAGTGTTACAACGCTACATAGCTTTTGTTTCCGAGTAACTTTTTTTTCTGAAGGTACTGTGATTAATTGAAGGACACAGTTCTCTTTGGAAATTAAGGTGTAATTTTAAAATTGCGAATTTTGCTAAGGTTATTGCAAAGGGGTTATTTTCACCTTGGATTGGTACTCCGTGCCTGTAGGCTCTGTTTTGAAGCAGAAAGGCAGTGGCAGAAACCCTGGCTCTTGTATCATGTGGGTAAATGATTAACAACCCTCAGCCAAATCGCGAAATTCGCCCGTCGATATTCTGCGCTCGGTTGCTTCAAAAACATGTTTGCGCCAAATGAAGAAACGATAACAGGGATTCAGAGAAAGTTGTCATGTTTGCTGCTTTCCTCTTTGCAAGAAATAACCGCGATTCACTATTTGGGATAATTTTATTGACTTCGAGCATTGTTGCTGATGTAACGTGTTCAGCCCCCACTTACTAAAAGAAAAACACGGCCCTCGGTTCAATCTGTCCAGCGGTGGGCCATTGCGACTCTTCTTTCGTTAATTGTCGCCAGATGCCAAAAGGAGGCGGCGGGATCGGGAGTAAGTAATGCTATCTTGAAATGCAGTAAAGCTGTACCTTGTTTTCCAAATACCTCGAGAAAAGTGCCACCATTGAATGTTTTGGTGAGGATGGAGTGCTTGCGATTTTATTTTGAGCAACCCAAAGGGAAGTTCTGTTACATGAGAAGCGAGTTCTGGTTTTTTGGTGGTGGGGGAGAAGGGGTTACGGGGGTTGCTGGATATTGTTCACAGTAGAGACGCAGTGATTAAAAGATGTCATCCTGTGTCCAATTGCTGTGCTGCAGCTATCTTCTTGTGTGCCTGAAACGGAAATCTTGAATGCCCGAGACTGAGTTAACTTGTTGCACGGACGCTGCTGACAGCCAAATCTAACGCAGCACCACCTCTCTGAACTCCCTCTGCTGCCTGCCTTGTCATATGGCTTGGGTAGCATCTACTAGAGGGTGAGCAGAATTTTGCTCCAATTAAATTTAGGGAAGAATTATCTTTGGTTTTGGCCACTTGTTTCATTGCACTCTTGATTACTGAGAATCAGTTGGACACTTCATAGGCTAAGCATCCTATCTAAGTCTGCACTGTGCTTTGAACACTTTTGTCTCTTTTACAAACCTGCCTCTCATAACCTATGACTCTGCACAAATGTAGAAGAATACAAATATATTAGAAGTTGTGTATTTGGAGGAAGTTATAGTGATGAGGAGGGCATGTCCAGGGAGAGATTTGAAAATTTAAGATGAGCATTTTAAAATTTGAAGTGTTATAGAATTTCTACAGAGTGGAAGCAGGCCATTCAGCCCTTCAAGTTCACACTGAATGTCTGAAGAGCATTCAACCCAGAACCACTCTCCCACCCTATCCCTGTAACCCTGCATTTCCCATGGCTAACTCACCTAGCCTGTACCCTGGACACTGTGCACATCCCTATGACACTATGGGCAATTTACCATGGCCCATCTGCCTAACCTGCACATCTTTGGACTGTGGGAGGAAACCCATGCAAACTGCAGGAGAGTGGGCAAACTGCACACAGACAATCGCCCAAGGCTGGAATTGAACTTGGGTCCCTGGTGCTGTGAGGCAGCAGTGTTAACCACTGAGCCACCATGCTGCCCAGTGGTTGAACCCAGAGCCATGGGGTGATTGGTGAGTCGTTGCAGTTTAGGACATGGCCAGCAGAGCTTTGAATGTACTCTCAAGTTTATGGAAAAGGGGTTGCTGAAAGCCAGCCCAGAGAGCCTTGGTAGAATCAAATATCGAGTTAACAAAGGCATGGATAAGTATTTCTGCAGAAGATGGTGTGAGGTGGGGATGGGAAATTGTTGTGAGATGGATTTTTATGATATAAGGATCTGTGTTTCGGAACTCAACTTGGGGTCAAATAAGATGCACACGTGATCATTCTGGTGAGGGTGACAAATGGAGATGGTGGCTAGGTAGCTGAGTTTATACTGGTGTTTTAAGGTAATGGCTTTTGGTTTCCCAATACTTATTGAAGGAAATTTGTCCTCCTCCACTACTTACTGTTGGACAAGAAGTGTAACAAATTAGAAATAGAGGAGTTGTAAGATGAAGTTATAAATTGGTTTTCCACCCAGGATGCTACAGAAGTCGTTGTGACTGGAATTTGCTCTCTGGAGCTGGCATCTGGCTGTCTGTACCCCAGTGACTTCGACTAAAGGACAAATGACCCCTCTTGTACTATGTTGTTTCGAGGACAACCAATGAGTTACATGTGTTCGTCGCTAAATAAGGTTCTTTTAAAAAAGAGAATCATCACAGCAGATTACATCAATTACACTGATTTGTGAAATGACAAGTTGGAAATTGGCTTCAGTTTTCATCAACCTAATGTTGAAAGTATGACTGAAAAATCCCACCATTTCCAATGGTGAAGCCCTTTTCAAATGATGTCATGATCACTTCTGATCTGATACTATACATTTGGGTTATTACTAAATAGTTGATACTGGGCCAATGTTATCACTGTCTGTTTAACACTTGGATTTGTTGATAGCCTTGATCTGCTTGTTATCACCTTGATCTTTTGCCGATTTTTACATTTTCTGTTGTTTTTTCCAAAAATATGTTTTGTTTCCTAGTGGAAAATTACAGAATGTTAAAGCACTCTGTTGGATTAATAGTCAGAAAGCAAGCAGATATGGTGTACTTGTGGATGATATTATTGCAGTAAGACTATTAGCAGGTAGTTTACCAAAGGCCTTTACATTCCTGACAAACTTGGATTAAAATATCCAAATCTTTAAATTTGGAAAGGGCAGGTCTAGAAAAAATTTTTGCAGTTGATCATTCACTCCCTCAAAAATCTGTCCACTTCTCAAGTTTTTCCAACACAGTGTCTTTCTGGATAAGTGTCACAAAGTGTTTGTCACCCTGTAAGTAAAGTTGCTAGTCTGTGTATGTTCCTTCTTCTAAGCTTAAGGCTTGTGATGTATTTTTCATAGAGTTCTAGCAATCTATTATCAGAGTTCAGTTGTTTCTTCCATGAATGCTGTCACCTCTGAGCCTAGTCTTGTCCAAACCTAAACAAACTAAGGCTTTCAACCATGTTTGCATGCAGATTCTTCAAGCAAAATTCAAAATCATGCGGGGAGGAATAGGATAGATGGGAATAAACTGTTCCCGCTTGTAAAAGAATTAGTACTGAGAAGACATGGATTTAAAGTGTTGTGCAGAAGCCATGAAGGTGATGTGTGGGGGTGGGTGAAATGTTTTCTCACAATGAGTAGTTTGGGTTGCAAAGCACGGCCTGGAAGTGTGGTGGAGGCCAATTCAATTGAGGCAATCAAGAATACATTGGATGATTATTTATATAGAAACAATATGTAAGTGTTTAGGGAAAAGGTAGGAGAATGGAGAGGCAGTGCAGACACAATGGGCCAAACTACCCCTTTGTGCGCAGCAATACTCCTGTGATTCTGTATCTGTTTACTTTCCTTTTCCTAGATAACCTCTGATCTGGGTATCTTGAGTTCATGTGGAGGAGGGAGACCAAGGTGTGTTTTGGTGATGAGGTGCATACCAACATTTTATCCATTTGGTCAGGACAGCTAACAAAATATAATAATGATGTTTTTATCCATGAAGTCAGTTTCAGCTTAAGTTAACATGTCAAGGTTGTGGATGATGAGGATTTTGTTTGCAAGCGAATGACATTCTAGAAAGATTTCTCTTTCTTTTGACTTCTGTTATTGATTCCTACAGTGATTGAAAATTTTTATTTTCAAGTTCAGAATTTATATAAATTTTAATAAAAACTATAGAAAATAGATAAATGTAATCATTTTAAAAATAAGGGCATTACTTAAGATTTAAAAATGCAAATGGATTTGTATGTATCCCACCTTTCTAATGTATACCCTTTCAGTCTATTGATCCTTCACTTAAAAAGTAGGTCTTTGGCTATTCCACCACGTTCTCCATATAGCCAGCTTCACCCTAGGCAATATCCTGAGAGATTGACCAGTTACTTACAAAATTGTAAGTAGATTGGTTCTGAACTTTATAACCTTTTTTCAAGAATGCCATGTGTCGTATATTGACTGTACCAAATACTGAAGAAATATTAGCTGTTGAACAAAACCACGTTCAGTGAAAAACATTCACAAAAGGAGCATAGGAGCTTGCTGTCTGAAGTGAAATAATGCAACTTCTGGCCAAAATGTGCCTTTTCTTGGAAAGCATGTGGTTAATATTACTTACAAGAATCCGCACACTTAGTTGAGTCAAAATACAGGGGTTTTGAGACATTTGTCTGCATTTGTGGAATACCTAACTATGGCCAGTGCTCAAACTGCAGATCCTATTGTGCAGAATTCAATAGGCAATAATTGTTACAATTCTATTGCCTGGGATTTGTAATGTTGGCACAATTAAATTAGTGTTTGCTTGTTAGGTCCCCCATTTCATACACGTCTGGTTGGTTATTTGTTCTTTTTTCTTCTTGGTGACGGGTGTTACTGACTAGCTGGCATTTATAGCCTATTCTTAACTGCCTTTGAGAAGGCAATAGTGGCCCACTTTTTTAAGTTGTAGAAATCTGTATGGCACAGGTTCATTCACAGTGCTAGTGTGGAGGGTATTCCAGAATTTTGAACCAGTAAAAGTACAGCAACAACTATATAGTTCCAATCCAGAATGATGTCTGGTTGGGAGAGGAAGCTGCAGGTGTGGCGTTTGTATGCACTCGCTGTGTTTGTCCTTCCAGATGGCAGAAAATGAGAGTTGTGTTGGAATGTGTTGCAGAAGGAGGCTTGATGAGTTGCTGCAGTACATCCAATAAACTAACACATAGCTGCCACTGTGCACCACTGTTAGAGGGAGTAAATGTTTAAAGTGGTGTAAGGATGTCAGATTAAACAGGCTACTTTGTCTTGTGTGGTATCCCTTTTACCTGCAGGAGCAATAGTGAGGGTTGAGGTAGGACAGCAGCCTCCTGGGGTGAGGGGGTTGGGGGGGGAGGAGAGAGAGAGAGAGAGATACTGAGAGGTGAGGTTGAATAAAGCCATAGTCGCAGAAATGCTGAGTTGAATGAAGTTTGAATTTTGAAAGGGTTCTAGAAATTAATTAGAGAATGCTTGCTTCCAGAGGTGGACACAGAACATGGTAGGGATTGTGGATTGAAAGGGGAATATGGATGGAGAGTGATACAAGGAAGTGACCAAAGATGGTCTTATCTGTAATGTGTACAATTGAAGTATTGACACCAAGTGAGATGACAAAAGTTAAAGGGGTGTCTGTGAATGAGGTTATGGTAGTTTATATGGACTGAGAGATTTGGGGAGTTTGTGAGGGCAGTGAACTCAAAGTGGATGAAGGTTAAACCACCCAGGATGAGTTGGTACTTAGTGCTGAGTCCGAGAGAGAAACGCAGCAGAGATATGAGATAATTTATACCCATAGTGTCCAGGTATGTACAGGTCATGTGGGTTAGCCATGGGAAATGCAGGAGTAGGGTAGGGTGGAGAGTCTGGGTGGGATGCTCTTCAGAGGGTCGGTGTGGACTTGTTGGGCCAAATGGCCTGTTTCCACACTCTGTGGATTCTATGGATCTATGGATATGGAATGGTCGTAAAGAATGAAGATTTTGAATGAAAAGCAAGAGGTGTGGGACAAGGTGAGAAGCCCAGAGGAGAAAGGACTTAAGCCAAGGAGCGATTTTAGTGATGAGTACAATGCCTCCACCATGATGGTTTTCATAGAATCCCTAAGGTGTGGAAGCAGGCCACTTGGTCCGTTGAGACTGCATTAACTCTCTGAAGAGCATCCCACCCTATCCTGTAACCCTGCATTTCCCATGGCAAATCCACCTAGCCTGCACATTCCTGGATACTGTGGGCAGTTTAGCATGGCCAATCCATATGCACATCTTTGGACTGTGGGAGAAAACTGGAGTACCCGAAGGAAACCCATGGGGAGAATGTGCAAACTCCAAATAGACAGTTGCCCAAGGGTGGAATTGAACCCGGGTCCTTGGCGCTGTGAGGCAGCAGTGTTGACCACTGAGCCACCATGCTGTTCATGTCAAGAGAAGGCAAGAACTTGTGAAAAGGGTGCATGAAGATCAAAAGAAAAGGGCTCCATTTGTGAATGGAATCATCTGACTAAAAAAGGCAAGGAGATAATGGTGGCAGTAAAAGCGTTTTCAATCACACTGGGCTTACAGTTTGTTGAGGTGGGAACATGGAGCTCTTGTTGAGAACAGATTATTCAGAATCAAAACAAAGTATTTAGATGAGATGGCTAACACCCAGCAATTTGATGTTTGGAACAGCTGGCTTAGAAGTAGAGATAGGTCTGATGCCAGGGCTATCAAAGTAAGCTGGTGTGATAGGAAAATGGCTTTAAGCAGTAGCTGGAACTTTGTTAGCTGTGAATTTGTCAAAGTAACAGGAGATGAAAGTTGATGTTAAACTGAGGATGAAGACTTTATGTTGCTGAGGGGCAACGTGTACAAAGGTGATTGTGTAAAAGGGATTGCTTAGAGAATATGATTCAAAATGGATTTGGTATATGCAGTCACCAAAGAAAGTGAAAAGAACAGCAGTGACGGGGAACAGGCTGATTAATGCAAAGGGTAATCTTAATGAAAAAAGGAATGGATTGTTTAAGGGTAAGCTAAGTTTCTAATCATCTTGCAGCCACAAATGTGGCTCGTGTGTAAATGGAGCAATAAAGATTATTTAACAGGTTTGTCTTGTCAGTAAAGAAATAAGATTGAACCTGTGACCTTCCTCGATTTTTATCTAATGTTAAAAATTACTCAACCTCACTCTAGTGTATTTCACTTGCTATTGTAAGTTGTAACACTCATTTGCACTTCTTAAAATATTCTTTCAGATTGAGGATGGAGGCAAAGCTGCTTTGTCCAGAAAACTACAGGTTGGTGATGAAATTGTAAACATCAATGGCTCCCCACTATATGGCTCAAGGCAAGAGGCACTCATCCTCATTAAAGGATCCTACAGGGCATTGAAGATGGTGGTGAAACGGTGAGAAATTAATTCTATAATTATCAGAAAACCTCAATAAATCGCATTCTGTTTCAGTGAAATTGTCAAATTTGAGTTCAGTAAGAAATAGTTCCTTTGAATTAATAGAAGTGTCCATGTACCTTCTGGGCCGAAAACTTACTGGCTGTCATTGTGTGTCCCTAATTTCCTTTAATGAAGCTCAGGTCCATATCGATAATTTTGGGTGTCTGCTCTTCCACCAGCTCTGCACTACATACATGCCTACACGCGTTACTCTTCCTCCACCACCTCAAGCACCCCCACCCACAACCCTCCCACTGACCCACAAACCTGTGGTTACTGGGGGTAGTTTGCTAATGCTATCGATCAGCATTTAATCTAACTTGGCAAACAAGGTGGGGGTACAGGAATCAAGATGTAACATTTGAAAGGTAAGCCAAGGTACACACAGAACTGGGAGAGGTGGATAATATGAGAGAAGCAAATTGTAAAATAAAATGTAGTATCAGAGTAAAAGGGACTGTAGCTAAGGGCCAAGTTAGTTGTATATGGCTGTGGACAAATGATGCATGATAAGTAAGGGTTGTGAACTTCAGGCACAGAGAAATGGGAGAATATGATGTGATGGTAATTACAAAAACCTGGAACAAAAAGAATGCTAGGTACTCCTGAACACAAGATTTTCAAGAAGATAGGAAAGAAAAGAGGGGAGTTGGCGGCATTGATTGAATTGAATATTAGGACTGAGAGGATGTCCTGAAGACGTCAAGGACAAAATCTATTTGGTTAATGCCTAATAAAGACTGCATTACACTCAGTATATTCTAATGTCACCAACAATTGGGAAAGATATAAAGCAAGAAATATGCAGTAAAAGTGTGTAGGGATTAACTAGCAAAACGTGGCAAGTAGGGATAATTGGTGATCTAATTATCCTTATATAGATTGGAATTGTAGTAGTGTAAAGGTGACGGGGCAGAATTTGACATTTGTGCAGGAGAATTTTTGTAGATCAATATGTTTCCAGCCCAGTGATAAGGAGGCACTGCTGCATCTCGTTCTTCTGAGTGGCATGGGTGAAGTGGGTATGTGTTAATAAGGAGGTAGTAATCTTGCTATCATAAGATTTATGTTCGCAATGGAAAAGGCCAAGATGCAAACCAATATAAAATTTAAAAATTGGATTGAGAACCATCTAGCTGAAGTACATTGGAATCAAAGATTGGCAGACAAAACTGTGTACAGGAACAATAAGTTACCTTTTAAAGAGGAACTGGTTCGGGTAAAATTGAGGTATACTCTCAAATAGAAAAGATCAGAGAAACAAATTCAGAGCTGTCTGGCTGATAGAACAAATAGGAAGTAAAATCAAGACGCTAAAGTGGGCATATGATAGATATCAAATTGATAATGCAAGTACAAAACAGGCTGAATGCAAAAAAATTCAGTGGAGAGTGTGAAAACTAATAAGAGAATCAAAAGCAAGAATATGAATATAAACATGACATTGCTCAAATTGAAATCCAAAAACTGTCATCAGCATTTTGCATCACACATCATAGCATCATCTTATGATCAGCAATCCTTTTGTTCGCCTATTCCTCTTTTCTCTCTCTCACTGACCCCATCTCCATGTATTTTAGTCTCCCCACCAGTCATAAACATAACTACCACCTTTTTGCAGCTCTTTTCAGTTCTGACAAAGGGTCACTGAACTCAAAATGTTAACACTTTCTCTCTCTACCAGACCTCTTCAATTTCACTATTAGTTTCTACTTTTATCCCAAAAGTTGCTTTTTTTTTTCTGTCACTTTTGAGATGTGGGCATTTCCACCATCCTTTAGTTGCCCATGAGAAGGTGGTGTGGTGCTGTCTTCTTGAATGGCTGCAGTCCATGTTTTTGCCAATGCCATTTCTGGTACCTACATCAATGCCAAGTGGTCTGTCTATTTCTGTTCCTTTTCTTCCCTTCCTTGCAGTCAATACAACAGAATGGCTTGCTGATCAACCTCATTGTTGTGGGCCTGGAGTTGCATATAGGCCAGACCAAGTAAGGATGGTAGTTTCCTTCCTGAATAACATTAGTGAAGAGATGGGTTTCTCTTGACAATTGACAGTTGTTTAATTCCAGATTAAAACTTGGTCTCCAGCACATTACCAGTCTGGTGAGCAGTCTAACGATAATACCACTAGACCATCTCTGTACCTGAGGTAATGGTAAAAGAAAGGGTGGAGTTACTCACATAGCAGAAGTGGATTTATGCATGGAGCCAGAAGGCATAGTTGAGATACTTAATGAGTAATGTGCATCTGTCTTTACTGAGGAAGAAGTCGTTGCCTGAGTCATAAGATAAAAAAACCATAGTTGATACATGAGCTAAGAGAAAGTTACATCACCAGCATTGGACTAGATGCATTCAACCTGCTAAGGAGAACAAGGGTGGGAATTGTAGAATTGTTGAAATAATCTTCCAATTTCAATACAGGAGTAATGAAAAATTGCAAATGTTCAAAAATAAGTGTAAAGATAAGCCCAATAATAACATAATAGTTAATGTAGCTTCCATGATAGTTTTGGATTTTTAAAATATTTTCTTTATCAGTCTGTTCAGAGAAGTTATTGCACATCAGGGACTTGAACTCGAGTCTCTTAGCTCAAGGGCAGGGACATCACCCCCACTGTGCAACAAGAAGCCTTTAAACTTTTAGAAACAATTTGACAGGAGAATATTAACAGCCACTTAGGCAAGTGTGGGTTAATTAACGAAAGCCATGGATTTGGTAAGAGCTAATTGTGCTTAGTGAATTTGATTGAAATTTTTGACGAGGCAGCAGGGGTGATTGTTCGGTTTACGTGGCCTTTCAAAAGAAATTTGAAATACCACGTAACAGGCTTATCAACAAAGACTGTGGACTGGATTTGGAGCCTCTTTTTGTTTTGAGCTAGCTAAATAAATAAAAATGATCTATATATAAAATAACGGCAGATGCTGTAAATTTGTAACACACAAAACAGAAGTTGCTGGAGAAACTCAGCAGGTCTGGCAGCATCGGTGCAGAGAAAACAATTAACATTTTGCGTCCAGTGACGACTGTTCAGAACCATTGGTAAATGTGTCCTTGTGGATGTTGGGCAAGAACTAAATTATCTGTCGTCTACTTTGTATTTGTATTTGAGTAACATCGATATTTCTTGCCCAGGCATTCTGAAGAAGGGTAACAACTCAAAATGTTAACTTTGTTTTCTATCTACAGATGCTGCCAGACCTGCTGAGTTTCTGCAGCAATTTCTATTTTATATGTTACAACATCTATCAAGCCAGATTTATCCAGTAGTACCATCAGCTGATATCCTAACAAGTATAACAAGGATGTGTCAGCTTTGATGCACAGCAGTTGTTTCAGCAACTTGTTGTAATACATAGTGATGTGATGTGGATTCACATGTATAACTTATTTATTTTTATTCTCTCATGGGATATGGATACTGCTAGCTGGGCCAGCCCCTAGTTGCTGTTGAGAAGGTGGTGGTGCGTTGCTTTCTTGAACTACTGCAGTCCATACACTGTAGGTTGACCCACACACCATTAGGGAGGGAATTCCAGGATCTTGACCTTGACAGTGAAGGAACAGTGAAATATTTTCAAGTGAGAATGCTGATTGGCTTGGAGATGAACTTGCAGTTGATGGAGTTCCCATGTACCTGCTGCCTTTGTCCTTCTAGATGGAAGTAGTTGTGAGCTTGGAAGGTGCTGTCTAAGGACTGACCTGCTCTTGTAGCCACTGTATTTATATGGCAAGTCCAGTTAAGTTTCTGATCAATGGTAACCCCCAGCAAGTTGATCATGAGGATTTCAGTAAAGGTAACACAATTGAATGTCAAGGGGCATTGGTTTGATTGTCTCTTTTTGGAGATGGTCATTGTAAGGTGTAGATTTTACATAACTTTTTGTATATAAGATTTTACATAAGATTTTATACTTGTCAGCCCACACCTGGATATTGTCCAGATCTTGTTGCATTTGAACATGGACTGCTTCACTGTCTGAGGAGTCATGAATGATACAGAACTTTGTGTGGTCATCGGCAAACTCCCCCACTTCTGAACTTATGATGGAGGGATGGATGCAGCAGTTGAAGCAGTTGGGACTAGGACACTACCCTGAGGAACTCCTGCAGAGATGAATGACCTGTAACAACCACATTCATCTTCCTGTCAGCCAGGTATGATTCCAGCCAGTGGAGAGTTTTTCCCTGATTTCTATTGATTCCAGTTTTACTAGGGCTCCTTGATGGCATACTCAGTTGAATGCAGCCTTGATGTCAAGGGCTGTCACTGTCGCTCTCACGTCACCTCTGGAGTTCAGCTGTTCTATCCATATTTGAACCAAGGCAGTAATGAGGTCAGGAGCTGAGTGGTCCCGGCGGAACATAAACCGGGTGTCACTCAGCAGGTTATTGCTGAACAGGTGCTGCTTGATGGCACTGTTGGTGACACCTTCCAGCACTTTACTGATGATCAAGAGTAGATTGATAGGGCAGTAATTGGCTAAGTTGGATTTGTCCTGCTTTTTTGTACAGGACATACTTGGGTAATTTTCCACATTGTTGAGTAGATGCCAGTGTTGTAACTGCACTGGAGCAGCTTGGCTAGGGGAGAGGTAAGTTCTGAAGCACTATTGCTGGGATGTTGTCAGGCCAATAGCCTTCACCATATCCAGTGCCTCCAACCACTTCTTCATACCACTAGAAGTGAATTGATATGGCTGAAGACTGGTTTCAGTGATGCTGGGGACCACTGAAACCAGCCAGGATGGATCATCCACTCTGCATTTCTGGCTGCAAAATGCTGCAAATGCTTCAACCTTATCTTTTGCAGTGATGTGTAGTGCTGTCTCATCATTGAGGGTGGGGATGTTTGTGGAACCTCCTCCTCCAGTGAGATGTTTAATTGTCCACCACTATTCATGACTGAATGTGGCAGGACTACAGAATTTAGATCTGATCTGTTGGTTACG